TCATGAAATAGATACGAACCTATGAGTTCCAAGAGCAGTTCAGTTCATCTTAAAGTTGAATTAACCACTCTTTATCCCATATATACTGCCAGCCAAAAGGCAGAGAAAGCTCAGGAAATAATCTGTAGTCAGACAGCAAGGCTCTTTTCCTTCCTTTACTGTCAGTCAACCTTCTCCTATCAATGTGTCTTTCATCTCACAAAAGCCTTAAAAATTTGCCTGTGATAAGACTTCTTTAGCCCAGTGACTCCCCAGCTCTGTGGACCATCTTCTGGCAAATGTCAGGACAGGCTCAGGAGTTCTCCAATTGTATAAATGCAATTTGGAAAGGAACATAAATCACTGGAAATCAGGGAGAGGTGAACACACTGCATCCCCTCTGCCTTCACTCTCTAAATGGTGTTTGGAGCTCAGCATAGGCAGCAGGTACATCTGCTGAGAGACCTTCTCTCTACAAGAGGCATTCCTAGCTGACTTCCTGCAAGCAAATTCCCATGCAATTCATTACCTATATAGACAGGGAAAAACAATATATGAAAATGTCTTTGACCTAAAAAGTGCTTGAGACATGCATATGGAGAATTCAATTCATAGCTGGCAGTGGGAAATGCATAAATAAATAAATATTCACATAAATTGGTTGGCACTGGATCTCAGTTTGCCTATGCTGTTCACAGTAATTTTAAGCACACACACACGCGCGCACGAAGACAAGTGGCTACATGTGAGTTTTGCTATATGAAATTCTGTACAAGCCATGCTTTCTTTTGGAACACAACCAAACAAAAATGCTTTCTGCATTGATCAGTACATTTCCTCTGAAAAAGCAGAGCCCAATTCAGCTTCGTGTGACTTCAACACAGGTGAATTTGGCCCACTTATTGCAGAGGTGAAAAAGAAGTTTGCCTGTTCTTTACCAACACAGCTAAAACAAACAGTAGCAAAAGACAGTGTCATCATGCTCAGACTACACATAGAAAACCTATTTGATCCAATAATGAGAAAAAGTTCACTAACAGAACCAATATAATGACAAGATGTTTTTAAGATACATTACTTAAGCAATGCATTC